GAAATAAGTTTGCCAAGAGGCTGGATGGAGAAGGGAGGTTTGGGATGCCAGATCTAGGACTTTGGTTTGGGTTTCTTTGGGAGAAGGGATCCCACGTGGTTCATAGTCTTCAGGGAGTATGACAAAGTTGACAACAATCCCCTGGAATCAGACTCCTGATCTTGTTCACCCCCAGCACTGATTCAACAGCCTAGGTTGAGACAGTGGGTCAAGGATGGACTATGGAATTCTGTGTGCATAGAGAGAATATGGTTTCTTTTTTCTTGGTGAACACAATAAAACACCAGCGTAGATCTGAACTACTGCAGAGGAGGCTTGTTTCTTGACCCCTCAGCTAACAGCAAGAAGAAATTTATGTGTATCCTAACCTGTGTACATACATGTGAATACTGTCTACCCACCCATCCACTCATCAATACATAGAGACAGAGATGTGTCTGGATGAGGAATAGTCCTCATTTATATTCAGGGGAACATAGCTTAATGGTTCATACCAGTGTTGCCATCTATAACCCACCACACATGGGCCATTCTAGCCGTCTCCTCACTTGGCTCTTGCCTCCCGCTCCACCTGTGAGGGAAACTGTCAGGGTCTCATCCGGGACACAGGGATCTGGGAGCTTCCTGCGCTGCACGCTGGTGGCCGGCAGGGGGCGCGCTGACCCGCCTTTTCTGACGTGGCGTCTTAGGCCCACGTGGAACGCATGCGCATCACGCCCGTTGCCCTCGACGCCGCGTCTGCACGAGAGCCGGAGCGACGTTACTTTGTGACTGACGGAGGCGGCGACGCTGCGGACGACTAGCGCCCGCGTCTTCGGTGAGTGACATCCCTGTGCGGCCCGGGCCCCTGGGAGGAGGCTTTTCCCCGCTAGTGAGGGCTGTTTTTTTATAAATGGAAAGAAACTCGTTTTCGCCCTGCGCCACGGGCCTTACTCCTTCCCGGGTAGTGTTCCACCAGGACTTACTTCACAGGAGCGTCCGTTCATTGAGGGGCTTCGGGGGCGAAATCGTAGCATGCTGTGGTCATTTCTATGGCTTCGGGATTGTTTTTTGTGGGGGGGTGGACCCCAGTGCAGCTTCCGTGAGAGAGAACCGCGTGAGCGGTGAGGAAGGGACGGAACAAAATGTTGGGGTGTTCAGGCGAACCCGGGGCGCAGGCAGGGCCCGGGGAGGACACACCCGGCCGCGGGCGGAAGGGGCCCTGGTGCGCCGCTGCTGCGCCCGCTTGTCTCGGTTGCAGTGGGTGGTTTGTTCAGAAAGTGAAAGTAGTTGAGAAAGTGCTGAAAAATAGAAAGGTAGGTGTATTAAAACTCGCAGCTGTATTTGATTTACATCCAAATCAGAATGTATTATAATTTCACTTTCCAGGCGTTTAAGGGAAGTTGCCGTGTCTCTAATCTGTTTAAAATGATGCTCCTCCGCGCGTCTCCTTTTCAGACTGAAGTATTAGGTGTTCATCGTGTGACGCGGTGACAGCCGGAGATAATTGTGAAGAAGGGTCAGGCCACTGAGAGGTCGTCTTCTGTAGGACCTCCCGGTGACAGGCGTTCTCCAATAAATCTAGAACACTTCCGAATTTATAGAATGTTCGTAAAAACTTGGGGAAGGAAAATACGGATTTCGAAAGGAGCAGTTGTACTCAAAATGAAGATACATTTCTTCAGAACCGTTTATTCAGCTTTATTTCAGAAATACCTGAGACGTCTAAATTCTAAATTTTACTTTTTAAAAAATCAGTTATAAAACACATTCTGCTTATACTCAGATCACTTCTACATAACGGTTCATACCAGTGTTGCCATCTATAAGCCACCACACATGGACCATTGTGGCTCAATTATGAGAGGTCCCAATATATTTTTTACATAATTTTTTAAACAGATTTTTTTTTAAAGATTTTTATGGGGCGGGGGCGGGCAGAGGGAGAGGGACAAGCAGACTCCACGCTGAGCACAGAGCCGGATCTCACAACCCCAAGATCATGACCTGATCTGAAACCAAGAGTCTGACGCTTAACCACCTGAGCCACCCAGGCGCCCAAGAGGTCCTAATATTTTTAAACTTCTTCATTTACAGCCCTTAAGACATACCTGAATGTCCCCGGACAGATGCAAGATGGGTTGGCTTTCTCTTCTTTTGTATTAAAACATGCACACCACAGAGCCCTCAATGTGTTGGGCTTCTTGACTATACCATAGGTATGAGAAGGAACCTCTCTTCTCCCGTGCCCAGCCCCCATTTTAATTTCAGACATGTCACAATGTATTTCTATCTCAGTTTTTTTTTTAATAAGTTCAAATCAGGCAACAAGAGACCAGCTGAAGGCTCAAAAGTGCTCTTTATGAAGACCGTAATTTTTGCTTTACTTTTAAAAGCGTATCATACCTTGTTTCACCTCATGTGGGGTGGTGCTCCATAGGAAGGTATTAGTCAAAAGCAGCTTCCTGAATTAGCTACTTCTCATAACAGTGTATGGATCAGCTGTGCATTCCCTGAGCCCAGGGAATGGGGAAGAATTGTCCCCTGAGTGCCAGCGACAGCCAAGAAAGGTCTGCAGAATAGCTTTAGAGGTGAAAAGGGGGCTTCTCAGGCTTGCAAAAATAGCCTGTTCTGACTAGTAAGGGGAAAACAAGGGTTCACTCTGAGTTTAGGAATTTGACCAAAGACAAAGAAGTAGAGATGAGCCAAAACTAGAGCTAATTTTTTGCCTTCCTCTCAGACCTTTTTTACTTAATAGAGTAACAATATATTAATTTCAGGTGTACAACATAATTTGATATTTGTATATATTGCACATAGTTAACAAGTTTTTTCTATAATGGAAAACTTTTTTAGGGGGGAGGAGCAGAGAGAGAGAGAGAAAATATCTTAAGCAGGCTCCACCCCCCAGCACAGAGCAAAATGCCAGGCTCAATCTCACAACCCTGAGCTCATGACCTGAGCCAAAGTTAAGAGTCTGGCACTCAACTGACTGAGTTACCCAGGCACCCCTATAATGAGAACTTTTAAGATGTACTCTTAGTAACATCCAAGTATATAATACAATATTTTTAACTATAGTCACCATGCTGTATATGTCATCCCCGGAATTTATTTATTTTGTAACTGGAAGTTTGGGCCTTTGGTAACCTTCACCCATTTTGCTTCCCCCCACCCCCCAACACCTAGCAACCACCAGTTGGTTCTCTGTATCTGTGGGTCTGTGTTTTGTTTTGTTTTTAGATTCTACATAAAAGTATTTTTCTTTGACTGGTTTCACTTAGTATAATGTACATAAGGTTCATCCACATCATCCCAGATGGCAAGATTTCCTTATTTTTATGGCTGACTAGTATTCCATTTTGTGTATATATACCACGTTTTCTTTATCCATGCATCCATCGATGGACACTAAGTTTGCTTCCATGGCTTGGCTGTTGTAAATAATGCTATAGGGGCGCCTGGGTGGCTCAGATGGTTAAGCGTCTGCCTTCGGCTCAGGTCATGATCTCCAGATCCTGGGATCAAGCCCCATGTTGGGCTCCCAGCTCAGCGGAGAGTCTGCTTCTCCCTCTCCTTTTGCCTATCCCCGTGCTGTGCTCTCTCTGTCTCTGTCTCTCTCTCTCAAATGAATAAATAAAATCTTAAAAAAAATAATGATACAGTGAACATGAGTGTATATATATCTTTGTGAGTTAGTGTTTCTATTTCCTTTGGGTAAGTTACTCAGAAGTAGAATTGTCACACTGAAAACTGCAGCCTGAGAATATTTTGTAGGCTAAACCCACTTGAAATTGTTGATCATCTTGCTGTAAATTCCCTGCAGTGCTTGCCAGAACAGGCCCAAACCCACAAAGTAATGAGGCCTTTGAATGCTTTTAGAATGCCCAACAGGATTTAAGGAATTACTCTGTTTTTCATAATTGTATCTAAATTATTTAATTAATTAGAGGGGAAATTTTTTTGTTTAATTAGTTGTTCCTTGGTTATATTTATCTTGATTGACATCCAACGTAAACAGGGTCTGTCCATTGCATTGTAAATCTGATGACGTTATCAACTATGTCAAAGTGAGTCCAAAAACAAATATATGTCTATTCTTAAAGTAAATGAAATTCTGGGCTCAGGACTTTGGTGATGGCACACTCAATAACCACACAGCGTCATAGGTTTTCCATCTACTTAGGTTCTAGTGAGTACTGAAGAAAAATTTCCCCAATGAGAGCCAACCTCCTTTATTTTGCCAGTGAAACTGAGCAGATATACTGATGGGTTGGAAATCAGGAATAATTATAGTTTTCTTGCCAGTGAGCTGAAATATTTCTTCAAATTATCAGGTTCATCTCTGCAGTAGGAAGTGAAACCATTTTTGAAAACTAAGGGAAAAGGTGAGAATTTGTGAGATTAGAAAATTAGAAAAGGGAGGGCACCTGGATGGCTCATTTATTAAGCATCTGCCTTCTGCTCAGGTCATGATTCCAGGTTCCTGGGATCGTGCCCCGCATCGGGCTCTCTGCTCGGCAGGAAGCCTGCTTCTCCCTCTCCCACTCCCCCTGCTTGTGTTCCCTCTCTCGCTGTGTCTCTCTTTGTCAAATAAATAAATAAAATCTTTTTAAAAATAATAAATTTTTAAAAAAGAAAAAAATTAGAAAGGCACAGGGAATATTAACATATTAATGAAGCATAGCAAAGTGAATGTTAAACCAAAGTCGGATGCCAGATATTTAGAAAGAGCTTTTGGGAGATTTGTGACTCTGTAATTAGACCAGCTCAGTACTTCATTCTGAGCTGTGACAGATGGAGCCAAGGGGAAGGTGAGATATTGGCATCATCTAGGATTGGGGTTTTGATTAGCAGATGTTGGGAAGTACTAAGGGGCATTACAATTGTTGGTCTTGGTGTGTATGTGTTGGAATGAGTAAGTGTATGTTATACTGATCAGTAGAAATTACATGTGGGGGCTGAATTTGGAAATTGGGGTCACTGAACTAAAGGTTCCCATGTAGTAGGAGATCCTGAACATGGGGAGAAATTGTGTGAACAGGCTGAAAGGAGGAGGTTTTGAGGGAGAAGTCTCCGGTCATGGATCTGACTGGAGAGATATGCAGGTAAAACTGGTTCTGGAGTCTAGTGTCCTTCAAGATGAAATTCTTTAGTTATTTGACATTCAGAAATAGGCAGAGCTAATTTTAAATTCTAGCTGTCAATTTTTAGCCATGTAGTTTTGTCATATAGTTTTTTGAACCTAGTGCACATCACTCAAATGTGTAAGTAATCCATAAAGGCAGGATTATTATTCAGTATTAAGTGCAATGTATGTCAGCATGTATGTAAATTCCACTCACAGAGTCTCAATACCAGTAGTTTTTTTCTCTTTCCAGGTCCTCAAATTCAGTGGGTTTTAATCATGTCCTGTTCTTGACACATTATCAGTGTTTGTTGATGTAGTGTATTTATTTATAAACATTGTTTGAGATAGTACTATAGAGGTAACAAATTCTTTTATATACTTAAATTATGAAATGCAGATATAATCTTGTTGATAAAAATAACTGGAACTTCAGACCCCAAGAAGTCAATAAATTACCTCTAAAACTAAACCTCTTTGCTCTATATTTTATGAGCTTGTCTGCTCTATATTTTATGAGCTTGTCTGCTCTGTGAGGATTAGGTAGCAATCCTTAATGTGTAGCATTATGACATATGTACTCCTGCTTCTCTCTTGTGCAAGGGATTTTATGTTCTAGACTTACATGATGAAAGTCACTGAACACTTGAGCAAGGGTTGGGTTTTTGAAATGTCCAGCCCAACTTTAAAGAGATTCCATGGTTGCTAGGCCATATATCCAACGCCATGAGTTATACAGTTGGGTTGAGGCACTAACACTGCCTGAATCCCACATATGGAGGAGCCAAAGTGACTGAGCACAGGTGTTGCTTGAGGGATAGCATGGGGCATTCATGAGCTGAGATGGGTGTTGGAAAACAATGCTAGTGCACTTCACCCAAAAATGATAAAATACGAAATTCCAAAATGGTGTCCTGAGTTATCAATACAAGAATCTCCATGTGACAGGAGTCAGGTTCTCCTCTAAGATTTTGGTGCCAGGGATGTAAATTAGTAGGACCTCTGAATACCAAGTCTAATTAAATGACACCTCTAAGCTTTTGCTATCTTTTTAATGGGGATATTAATAACTTCTTTATGAGCATAATAGGAAAAGACTTCTTATTGTTGATTCTTGGAGAGGGGAGCCCCCTCCCTGTTTGTCTTTATTTACTCTGCAGGTACATGTGAGTTGGACTATGGGCAGGAGTCACTACCATAGGAAGATTTGCAGATTAAAGATGTGCATATCTAGGAATATTGGAAAAGACAAGTCTCATGGGTTCTTTCTCTTTCCTCAGCTTTGTCTGCTTAGTTATTGGACTGTCCCTTGGTGAGAATACACAGGAAGAAAGGGGCAACTGAGTTCTAGACAATGCAACCACAGGTGAGTAGGACTTGTGCTTTCTCATGGATACCTGTTTTTCTAGAGGATGAGCAGATTTATCTTCATGGCCTGGATCTTCTTTGTGCCTCCATGAAATATTAGTGTCAGTCCCACTTCATCAGGAAGGCTTATGGCAGGTCAGGGTTTGATCGAGAAATAATCTGATACCTGTATTACTCTATTCCATCCCCCATCCCCTTAAGGATATTCTTCCAGAAAAGTTATTTCTTCTCATCCATCCCATGGCCCCAGCTGAGAAGTGACTCACTCATTAATCAGGTTAGTGTCTGCAGTGGGTTTAGGCCTGTGGTGAATACAGGTGATAGAAATGAGAACAAGCAGAAACTTACAGTCCTGTGGGGAGGCAGAGCTTCCTTCAGGTGAGTTCAGTCCATCCAGGGTTTTAGATGCTACAGAGGAGGGCTCTGCAGCATTGAGACTGGGGGTCGGGAGAAGAGATCAGTGAGGAATCATTTATTTTTCCCAATTTTAAACTTACTAAAGTTTTTATAGAATATGCTTGAGCATTTTAATAACTTAAAGAAAAATTCTCCTTACCACTCCTATTCCCAACAACTCAATTTCCCTCTTTGTAATTGAACTTTGTTCAAATTTGAAAACAAAGAAATGTCTGCTGAGTATTGTTTTCCTAATGTGGGCAGTGCATTGAGAAGGATTATAATGGAATAAAACCTAGGGTCCTGTAGCAAATTTTGCAGGACTGGAAAGATCAGGTTTAATTGAGAGGCTGATGATAGTGATACAGTACTTGGAGGTGCCCAAGAAGATTGAAATGGAGGGGCAGGCTAGAACATTCCCCGTGTACAACAGTCTTAGGGCCCCTGGAGTTTTGCTTCTGGACTGTATGTCTTAAGTTGTTTTTTTTTCAAAGATTTTATTTATTTGACAGAGAGAGAGACAGCGAGAGAAGGAACACAAGCAGGGGGAGTAGGAGAGGGAGAAGCAGGCTTCCCGCCGAGCAGGGAGCCCAATGTGCGGCCTGATCCCAGGACCCCAGGATCATGACCTGAGCAGAAGGCAGATGCTCAATGACTGAGCCACCCAGGCGCCCCTGTATGTCTTAAGTCTTATCATGAACATGTGTGTTGTGTAGAGATTGGCAAGGCCACACTTGCTTATCCAACTCGTGTAGGAGCCCCATTCAGTCCTGCAGGAAGTTGGGCAGTGCCGTGTCCTGGGTATTTCCACCACACCTCATAATCATTTATAATGGAGTTATGTTTACAAAGTGTGTATATTTCTGTGAGTCTGTGTGAAAGACACATGATAAGGCAGCATAGAGAAACATTTGACTGGGACCCCAGGCAGGGTTTGAGCCTTCTGTGTATACAGCAACCCATCCTCAGCACCGTCATGTCCAGTATACTCTCATGGCTCTTGGTAGGCAAGGCCCTGGCTGCATCAAAATATCTGATGTTTTAGGAATCAGTGACCTTCAAGGATATAGCTGTAGACTTCACCCAGGAAGAGTGGGCCCTGCTGGACACATCCCAGAGAAAGCTGTACAGAGATGTGATGCTGGAGAACATCAGTCATCTGGTCTCTGTGGGTGAGTCTGTCAACATTAATGTATTTATTCAGCAAGTATCCAGCTTTCACATATCCCCCCTCCCCTCTCAGCCCTTATTCAAATTCTTTCATGGTTCTTAAAACTACTTGAATGCAATTCATTTATTTACTTACACATATTTTGTCACCCCAAAAGAATATATAGTTTTCCTGACCCCTCTTTCATGTCTTTCTGGCTTCTGGACCTCCCATGCCCAGGACTGTGCTGGGAATTCAGTGAATATTTTAAATGAATGAAAGCACTAAATATTACTAAATAACTATTCTCTCTATACTCAATTGGCAATGAAAGATCCATTTGTGCAAATTATACCTATTATCTATTTCTAAAGAAAAATCAAGTGTTCTGGTGCAGTTTCTGTGTACTTAATTTTTTAAAAAATTAATTTCAGCCTACTGTGGAAACATATAATTACTCCTTTGTTGAAAACACTAAAGATTGTTCACTCTGTCTTTGACCTTGGTCCTGCACATCAACAACAAGAAAATCTACCTGGGCTGGCATAGTGTCAGGATGTTCTTTCTGCCCTGGTGAAGGACTTTACTATTTTCAGTGTTCAAGGTGCTCTTGCCTGGGCTCTCCTTCACTATTCACCTTGTTTTGCCTTGGTATTCTGCCCTGAAATTAAAGAGCATTCATGTTTCTCCACGTAGAATCTAAAATCAATACACCTTTTACTCCCCCAAAACAGGGTATCATCTCTGCAAATCAGATGTGATTTCCCAGTTGGAACAAGGAGTGGAGCTGTGGAGGGAGGGAAGAGGATTTCCCCAAGGCCCGAATCCAGGTGAGCTCCAGGTTGTGTGTGCACAGTGCCAGGAAGATCCTGTTATGGGGAGAGCAGGACCAGGGGACTGTCAATCTTATTTCAATCCTGAAAACACTTCATAATTTTCACTTTCTTGAAGTACATTTCAACTCACTGATACATTCCTTCTTTTCACATTTTTCCCCTGTGTAAGGGTCAGTATTTGAAACCTACACAGGCCTTGCATATTTTCAGAGTTTTCATCCTATCATCCACACTAGCAGTTCATTTTGTTTCCATTACTTTAGACAGGAAAAGTGGCCTTAAGAGACAAGAAGACATCTGCAGAAAAGACCCATCTAATTGCATGTCAATGGTAAGTTTCAAGGGGGTGAACCCTTCCTCAACAGTAAAGACATGGGAGCCAACAGATTTTAGAACACAGCACAGGACTGTGATTTCAGTTGGGCATAAATGCTGCCTCAGCAGAAAGCTTTGGGTGGTTTGAATTAGGGAGAAAATCAAGATGTTGCTCAAAGCTATCACCTGCATTCTTATAAAAGGAGAGCCACATAAACATGGCTCATGCATCTAGTCTATGAAACTAATGAAATCTTTAAAGTAAATCTGATAGTTCTGCAGTTGAGGTGTTATGAAAAAGGAAATCTCTTTGTATTGTAGAAAATAACATGCATGGCATGTATAAACAGGGAAGATGCTAACAGGAGATGTTCACTGCATGATCAAAGTAGGAGTCGTGTAGAGAAATTAACGTATGTGAGAAATTCTTTAACAGCCTCTCATCTCCTTCAAACAGCAGAGATCTTAGACTGGAAAGGATGCCTATGAATATATTGAATGTGGGGAGGTTTTCACTTACAGATCCACAGTGACTCAACATGTGCTAACTCACATGGAGGGAACCCTATAAAAGTAAGGAATGTGGGAAGGAGTTCCACCAGAGCACTCAGCTTTCTATACACAAAAGGACACACACCAGAGAAAAACTCTACAAAGGTAGTGAACGTGGGAAATGCTTCATCCAGAAGGCTATTTTTTACTCACACCAAAGAATCCACACAGGAGAGAAACCTTATAAATGTAAGGAATGTGGGGAAAGATTCCATCGGAGCACTCCCCTTTATATACACCAGAGAACTCACACTGGAGAGAAACCTTATGAATGTCATGAATGTGGGAAACACTTCAGGCAAAGCACTAACTTACATTCACACCAAAGAACTCACACAGGAGAGAAACCCTATAAATGTCATGAATGTGGGAAGGGATTCCATCAGAGCACTCAGCTTGTATGTACACCAGAGAACACACACCAGAGAGAGACCTTGTAAATAAATGCCATGAATGTGGGAAATACTTCAGCCAAAATGCTAATTTATATTCACACAAAAGAACTCACAAGGGAGAGAAATCCTACATCTGTGATAAATGTGGAAAAGGTTTCTATCATCCTTCCTCCTTTAGTCAACATAAAAGAAGTCACACTGAAGAAAAACCATAGGAAATTTTTAGTCAAAACTCCAGCTTTAAAGAGCATGAGCAATTTTATACCGGAGAGGAGCCCTGTATATGAAATGAATGTGTCCAGAATGCTCAGTAAATGTCTTACCCTTTAGTTAAAATAATCACATAGAATGGAAAAGCCTTCATCATTCTCTGACCTTAGTTCACATGAAAGAACCCATATTATAAATATAAGGAAAAACGGTCTTCAGATTCTCCTCTAACAGACACCAGAGGCTCACATAGGGAGAAATTGTATGTGTACAGTCCCGCACCTTCATGGCGTGCCTTCATTTATAATTTACCCTTTAAGCACCATGAGCAAACTCTACAGCAGAAACTACAAACTCTATCGAGAGTCCTGAAATCCACACTTCAGAATGTTCAGGACTTTGCCAAGTCCTGAACTGTTATAATAGTAAGTTCATCTTACATTATAAATAACGTAAGATGAAAATAGAGATTTGTAGATTTGTGCGGTGATCCGGGAATGTTCAGTGAAGAATTTGTAACAATTGATAAAACATTAAATTATTTCAATAGATTAGTACTTGAAATCAGTAAAGGTTGTGCCTCAAAAGTCTCATAATGTTGTTCAGTTTATATTTTTATGCAGCTTTAACCATAATTACAAGACTTGAGTCAGTCACAAAATAACTGAAATAACCTGGAAGGTCATAATACAACATAATGTGATTTAAATATTATATCAGTGTTTAAACATATACATCTATGGTATAAATTAATACAAACATGGAAGAATAAACATTTGGTTTATGAATAAAGTCCAATGTTAAAATAATACTCCCCTTTTTAAAATGTCCAGCCTGTTCACATTTCCCTTGTTGCACAGCCACAATCGTTCCTATCTGAACAGGTGGGAGGGAAAGATGGGGAATGGGAAGCCTGAAGACCTAGGGCCCCATTGGACTAGGAAAAAAATGGGGCAGACGGAGAAATGAGTGCACGTGGGGGAGGAGGCAAGTACATGGCTGGCATCTGAGGCACACGTGATGTTGGAGCAGGGATAGATTGAAGGAAGCGTTTGGTGACCTTAGGGATTGACAAAAGCGGAAAGGAGGGAAAGGAATAGGAGCCAAATTACTTAATGAGGAGGCAGAAGGGGGCATGTGGAGGTGGACTGAAGGTCATAGAGAGGCCACACCACCTGAAGTGACTTGAGCAGAAGAACAGGGCTTTGGGACAGGTACTGGTGATCCAGGATGTGCACAGGCCTCAGGAAGAGGGTCAGCTAAGGAGGGTTAATGTAGGTTAGAGGACAGGATGGGGGAATACGGGGTACACTGAGGGGACATAGGGGTCCTGATTGAGATGAGGGGTTGGGACCATGGTAGAGGGTGTGGGTGGAATCGAAGACTTTTTCTTCTCTCCCAGTGCTTTCTTAAAGCTCCAGGCAGTTATTCCATATAAATTAGAACCTCAGACTCTCTGGGTAATTTTGCTAGGCAATATTCTAACTTTGCCCCCAAGATTATATCCCTTGGGGTTCACACCTGTATAATTTCCTCCCTTTGCTTCTGAACCTTTGGATGTGATGGAATATCATTCTCCTCATTATATGGCAATGGTGAAGGGGTTTTGCAGATGTCATTAAGATCCCTAATTGGTTAATTGTAAGATAATCACAGGGGAGTTTTTCCAGAATAAGCATAACCTAATCAGGTGAGCCATTTTGAAGAGGATCTGCAAGTCAGAAACAAGAGAATGTCAGATGTGAAACCAGAGACAGTCTGCTGCTGGCCTTGAAAAAGCAAAGGGAGGATAAGCAATAAATGTAACCTCCAGGGAGTGGAGAGGAGTATTGAGGAAGTGGTAGGAGGATGCTTTCTGAGAATACCCTTTGCATGGTTTTGGTTTGGGAACAACCATGAAATTAAAGTCAACAAGAATGAGTGGGAAAAAATTGAAAAAAATGGGCCTAACTTTATATCAAATAACTACCATAATCACAAAATAAATTCAACTAACTTTTTAACACATTGTTTTTACTATATACACTTAAGTGACATACAAAAATATTTGCAAATTATCCTTATGCCTACTTGATTTTTTTTTTTTGCAGTGGTGTGAGTGTAGCAAGTTTTGAAGTATTTTTGTGTATCATATGACTGAGTATGTGGCTAAATATATTTAGGTTGTTCAGCCAAAGTTTTACTTGGTAATGGAAAAGGGAGACACAAATACTTGAGGAAGGAGAAGATAAGTCTCAGGATGTTGGATTGGAAATAGTCTTAACATGAATTAATGATGTGTGTGCTTGTGCTTCCTGATCCTGTCCTCTGAAAGGGCCTAGAAGCAGGGACACCTCAGTTGCAATGACAAATACCACTCAAATACTGGTTTCTAAATTTCATTCTCAATAATAGGAACTAGGCTTCCGTGGAGGAAGGACTGATTGAGGCAGGGAAATACACGATTGGTATTGAGGAGGGAAAGTATCTAAGGTATCTTTTGCTGGAAAGTAAGGAAGTACTCACAAAAGGAGAGGTAGGTAAAAAGGAAACGGGGCAGATCAGAGGGGCCCCTTTGGCCACATTTGGGACAACCATTAAAATAAAGAATAAAAATAATGGATTTTTAGCACATTGAAAGATTAACATACTCATACATATACATGCCTCTATATGTGGAGGGAAATGAAACACTTTAGAGTGGAAACCAACTAAAAGCAGAGGGAATGGTAGGAAAAACATCACCACTTGAAACCACCATAGTGAAAGGTTAACGTTAGGTAAACAGTTAAAGCATGTAATTGAAGATTTGCCATCCATGAAAAAGTTAACATCATAATGAAAAGCATTGAAGTCCTGTAGCTCCTGGTGTAAATCACTGAGAAAGACCAAACACCGCTGTGTAGTGTTCCTGAAAAATGAAAGAAAAAAAAAAAAAGAATGACGACAATACATGAACTAAATTTCACAATAAGAAAACAGAAGGAAATACCATTTTGGGGAATTGTGGTAAACAACTGGCTTAAACTCTACAAAAATGACAATTTCATGGAAGACAAAACTGAAACCTGTTCTAGAACACAGGAAAGTATCAAGATAAGACAGCAAAAAGCAATGTATGATCCAGAATAGGATCCTAGAGAGTAGAAAATATTTAAAAGCACCAAAAAGAATAAAATACTGAAAATATATTTAACATAGGTAGATCTGTACTCTGAAAACAACAAAATATTTTGAAAGAAATGAAATATACCATAAAAAAGTGCTTATGGAATGAAAGTGATTATGGATTTGAAGACTTAATATTAAATGGCAGTACTCCCAGATTGACCTGCAGATTCGGTGTAATCTGTATCACAAGTCCAGCTGACCATAAAAATGTATGTTGAAGTGCAAGGACCCAGAATAAACAAAACAACCTTGAAAGGAAAAATTAAATTGAGTATTCACATGTCTCGCTTTCAGATCTTACCACAAAGTACATTAATCATGACTGTAGTACTAGAATGAGAATAGACTTTTAGATAAGTGGACTAGAATTGAGAGTTCAGAAATAAATCCTCATACTTAACAGTCAATTTATTTTTGACGATGGTGCCAAGAATATTCAATGGGAGATATAATAGTTATTTTAACAAATGGTACCGGAGCAACTGGGCATCCACATACAAAGAAAAGAAGTGGTACCCCATCTAACATATTAAAAAAAAAACCCTCAAATGGGTAAAATAGCTAAATATAAAAGCTAACATCACAAAACTCTTGAGAGAAAACAAAGACATAAGTATTTGTGTTCTTGGGGGCACCTGGCTGGCTCAGAATAGTGTGTGACTTGATCTCAGAGTCATGAGTTCAAGCCCCACGTTGGGTGTAAAGATTA